CAATACAATACATTCACTTTTACTTTTTGGCTTTTTATTGACTTAATTTTGTAAGGCACTATAACTTTTGTTGACTTAATTTTGAAATTATGTCCACTGATTATGCTTCTGCCGCAGCCGTTCGCGCTCCCGCCGCCATTCGTGCTCCCGCCGCCGTCTTCCATATGCCCCACTGCAACCACATCCCACCACTCACCTCAACCACCTCACACACGACTAGCGGCCACTGGAGACTTGTCGACCAAGGTTGAGTTTCTAAAACTCCGGTCAAGAATCGATTGGAGAAAAAAGTCCAAACCATTCATATGCTTAGAAAATCGTCGATCGACTTCAGTCCGTCGCGCACGTCCGCGTGCTCCGGCTAGTCTGCAACTCTGGCCACGATTGGTTTTTCTCGGCAGCTCTTGCGTGCTGTCCGGCCGCAAAATTCAAGTCGAGAAATTCCAGCAACACTGACACTATGAATGGTGTTCGGTGAGGCTGATATTTCAGCCCATCCTCGCCGCATCTCCAGTTATCCGAGGTCGGCGAGTTGCGTGTCAAGGATGTCCGAAAACAATTTTGAGGATAGGGACTTTGTTTGGAAAATTTGATAACTCGTTATGACTTATTTGCAATTTTTTAATTGTTAATATATTGCATTTTAGTAGACGAGGAAAATATTTAATAAAATTTAAATAAATGCACGTTGATTATATAGATCGAAAAATTAAATTTTAAAAGTAGAAACATTAATCGAATCGACATATAAATATTTCAAACAAAAATTTGTAAATCGATTGGTTTTGGTTGATATTGTGCACTCTAGTGGACAATAATGTGCAATTCGTCTAATAAAATTGTGCACGATTTCGGTTGCTATTGTGCAATCTGAATCGACCGAACTTTTGTCCCAATCCAAATTAATATCAAACCGAATTACTTGGTTTATTCGATAGGTTAATCGAAATAACCAAAACACCTGAAATAAAATATTATTTATATTATAAGAGACATATATATGTAGTATTTTAATATCAAATATATTTTTTGCGCTGAAAATAAATATTTTTTTTTATATAAGAATACAAATAAGTGGTATTTTTTACATAGTTCGATCGATTTAGTGATTTTTTCGATTATTTTGAAAAATAGAGTCATCATCGAACCAAAATTATTGAGTTTTTAAAAGTGAAAAAAAAATATAATTGAACCGAAAATTTTAATTTGGTTTATTTCGTTCGTTATTGTGCAATCTGATAGTCATTAATGTGCAATTCGTCTAACATTGTTATGAACTCACAACGCATGAATTTTTAATGATTGTCACAACCCAAACTAAAAGTGAATTGAAATAATCTGTTTATTCGATCGATTAACCGAATTATCTTAAATAATTGAAATAATTTATTATTTATATTATAAAAATATATTTAGTATTTTAATATTTATATTTAATAGTTATATTATTTGTGGTTGAATAAGATGATATACAAAATATTGAAATCGATAATGTGCAGTTCGTCTAACATTATTGTGTGGTTTATTTAGCGGGTATTTGTTATGTGCATTTCAATTTTAGACTTCAATTATGTGTATTTCAATCCACATTATTATGTATTTATTGAAATATTTATATAATAAAAAATATATTTAGTATTTATATTTTTTATTTAATATTTGTATTAATGCTTGTTGAAAACAAATAATATATATAATAAAATATTATATTTAATATATATTTCAGTCAATTCTATTAATTCGTTTTGTCTTTTTTTTAAAAAAAAAAAATAAATAAAGCTGAAATCTAACCAAATATAATCATAATTTTAATATATATGAAAATGCATAATATATATTATAACCCAAATACTCAAACTAACCCAAATTGGTTAATTTGGTTGGTTAATCGAATTAACCCAAACTCAAATTAAGTTACTTATTATATTATAAAAATATTTTTAATTTTCTAATATTGTTTATTTAATATTTTATTTTCTAATATTGTTTTAATATTTTATTAATTCTGTTAAAAATACTATATATATATGTGTGTGTGTATAAAATATAAAAAAAATAATATTTTTTTATATTTTTTTATAAATTACATATATTAGCCCATGGATTGAATTGAAATATAATCAAAAATTTTGAAATTGCAATAAGATCATTTGAAATTATCACTTTCTCAAATAAAAACCCCACAACCCAAATGATTTAGTCGGCGCCTGTAACTGGGCCGCGTCAGCCCTGCCCTGCCACACTCAGAGGTGGAAGCTCGTCTCGCCCTGACCGTGATCCGTCAGGGCTCAGACCGTCTTCTCCGACTTCACCCAGGAGCTTCTCATTTGGGGCGCCTGGAAGGTCAAGGTTGGCGCCAATTGAAGGTTGTCGGAGGATATTTGGCTCGATTCCGCCCTCTAGGGCGGGTGTTAGGAGGGAGGAGTCAGTTGGAGCAGGATTACGACGAGGAAGAACAGTGTCCGTCATCCACTAATGGCAGGTTCCATGGGTGCCGATTATTGTTGCGGTGGCTGGTGCCGGTGGCAGCTTTCCACGGCAACAGGCGATGGCTGGATGATTGCAGCGGCCGCCTGTGGCAGAGTGGGTGATGGCTAGTGGCGTGATCGACATTTCAGCTGTGTGAGAGAGAGAGAGAGAGAGAGAGAGAGAGAGAATTGAAGTGAGACATGGGATATGGGCCCACTGATGTGGATGATTTCTGGAATGTCTAAATTATCTTTAATTAGTGTAAAAAAATTGATATTTTTTGCCATTGAATCATCCGATCTAATTATTACAATTTATTTTTATTTCTTTCACTGAACATCATTCTTTCACGTGAATCCACCCCACCCTATGTATATATTCCTACTTCTGATCTTGAATTTTTTTTTTTTAAAATTGTCTTGAAAGGATCCACTTATTTTAATACTCGAAATACTGAAAGGCCTGGGGACCGCTTGTCGTGGATGTTTGAAATGAGCTGTCCCTCATATCCAAATACTGTCCCATTGAGTGATACCACTTCATGTGGCAACACCATAATTAACAAACAATACCAAATCAGATTTTGGTTCAATCCGAAAGCTTTGAACCTTTAGATCCTACAGATGACTCACTCTGAATACTTTACATATGTTATGTTTCAACTTTGAACCCAAAAGGTGGAATCTCATACAAAACACTGAGTTCTAAGTGAATCTAGCAATATTTTATACTAAACTAATTAACCCGGGCAATTAAAAAATTATCTGAAAATTTTCAAATCTAGATCTCAAATATAGGGAGATTCTACAGTCCCGTTACGGAACCATTCCGCCAGGGTTTGTAGCCGTTAGATCAACTGTCCACTACGGTTACATGATGATTTAATGGTTACAAATGTCGACGGAATGGTTCCGTAACGGGACGTGTAGCATTTTCACTCAAATATATAACAATAACAATAAATATTAATTGTAGGAGCATTGTCTCCATAAAATGTCCAACAACAAAAAATGAATCAATGTCTATGCAACCACCTATATCTACTAAAGACCAAACAATAGCATAAATTTTCTTCAATACTTAGTATTGGCAACTCCCCATCCACTCATCCACCCATTTATGACCTAATTTGGAACCCTTCAAACACCATTAAGGAAAAAAAAAAAAATGAAGGGAAAAAAATTAAAATAAAATAAAATCAATCTCCCCCTACATTATTAGTGTCTTAGCTTTTATTTTTTTATTAGTATTTTTTTTCTATATGTTTTTTAGTACTTAAAATTTAGGTCCAGAACACTTCGATAACTAATCAAGCGTCGATCTCATATTCTAATACAGACGACACAAATGAATCATAGTTACCAAAGATAACGTCGTGCTCGTCTGCAAAGCTGCTCGAATCTTGAAAATCAAACGATGTTTGTATATCGTCCGGGAAACTGCTCCTTACAATCCCAGTCTCGAGCCCAGGTTCGGGTTCAGGCTCAGAGTTGCTAGATGGGCTCTTATCAGAAGCCGAGGTTTGGTCCATGATCTCCTTAAACCTCGAGGATTTTATGAAAATGCCGAGGGACGATGATGTGGCATCACCATCTATGAAATTCGGTGACGGGGCGGTGTTTTCGGTTACAGTTGGACTTTCTGACTGGTCGGTAAAGAAAGTCAACTCTACATCTTGACCGGGATTTTGTGTAGTGTCATTAATGTCGATATTGCCCTCTGAGGTTATAACGTTGTTGTTTTCGTTGTTGTTATCTTGGAGAGGCTCGAGCCACGCGGCATAACGACTTAGGTCAAAATTAGTGACTGCATTAGGCCCACGATACTTCACGGCTGCCATGTCGTATGCAGTCGCGGCTTCTTCTTGAGTAGCTGCGCCAAAAAATAATAATAAAAAAAATAATATAATTGACAAAAAAGTAAAATAAAAGGGCATTTTGGGGAAACTAATTAATGGGTCATGATCTTTGAAGTCAAAGTAGAATCTACAAGTCACAATACATGGCATGTTTTGGAATTGACATTGTCATGACTCATGAATGTTTGAAGTCAAGGAAATTAAATTTGTGTGAGCTATATTAGGTGGGGACTAAAAAGATTATGGCATCAAACCTAACTCATTGAGGTTTGGTGATCTATATTGCATGGCCAACCATATTTGTTTGCTTTTATAACTTACTAATCTACATTTACATATCATTATATTCACATCTCCATATAGTTGGGAAACCATTTTTTTTTTTTTAAAAAAAAAATTATATATATATATATATATATATATATATATATATATATTTCAAGCAAAGGAAAATAAAAATTATTCCATATCCAATCGCGTAAAATTTCTAAATTTCGAAATATCGCTTAAAACGAAAGATCATAATAAATGTGTTTTTTTATTATTTCGTACTAATAAAATATTTTGAAACTGATTACCTAATGTGATTTGATGCTTAATGTTGGTTTGTCTATGCAGGTGACCTAAGATCTTGATTCTGTTACTTTAGAGTACTTTCAAATTGAATATGATTAATGGCCTAAATCACAATTTTTGTCCTAGATTAGATACATATATATGTGGGGTCACACCTCGTGATGTTTGAACTTAGAGTTGTGGTTCATCAACCAAAACCAAACAACCCGTGAAATTATTTCATTTATAACTTGGATAATAAATTCGAGAAATGCTACAATTCCGTTAAGGAATCATTACGTCGGGATTTGTAACCGTCGTGAATAGTCGATCTAATGGTTACAAACTCCGACGGAATGGTTACGCGACGGGACCGACGAAATGGTTCCGGGACGGGATCGTAGAATGAGATGGCTAAATGTATATATTCAAGTATTTAAATAAACTACGTCATGAAATAATTAAAATAAAATAACAAGATTTTAATAAATCATGCTTACCATATGTTCCAAGGTAGAGGTATTTGTTGCCTAACACCCTACCAATCCTGGCTTCCCATCTACCATTATGATGATGCCTGCCCAAATAATAATAATAATAATAATAATAATAATAATAATAATAATAATAATAATAATAATAATAATAGACTATGTAAATAATATTAATGATATTAAAAAAAATGAGTTCACTTTAAATTATAGTTTTTGGTTACAGAAAAAAAAAAATTTCTTTTATTAAAATTTGTACGATATATAACTCACATATCAAAATTCACTGAAAATATAATTGGACTATAGTTAGCAGGCGTAACAAGCTCGAGCCTTTAATAACTCGCGTGGAGTCGAGTCGAGCCAAAAAACGAGCTTGAATTCGATTTATTTATCAATATTAAAAAGTCGAGGTCTAAAAAGGCAAACTTGAGCCTCAACAAACTGAATTACAGAAAATTCCGGAAAAGAAAAATCTTATATTTTTTTCTAAGTATCAACTTGTTAATAAATGAGTACTAAATAACTCGAGTCGAGCTCACAAACTACTCGTTTCGTTTGACGGCACTAACTAATGACTAAGATTCTTTCAGGCAGAAAATACAAAAAGAAAATAAAAAAATTGATGACTAAAAAAGTTTATTATATTCACATGACCAAAATGGCAATTGGCCAACTTATCAGGTGCAACGGTTCAATTTTAGTTGGTAGACAGTGTACTTAATTTCATATAGCAATTAATTGGACTCCTCACATAGTCAAAAATAAATAAATTAATAAATAATAACAAATAAATAAATGAAAAATACAATCTTCAGAGTACAACTTGCATGTGCCATCTTTTGGATTGTACTGCTTTTTTCTCATTTTTTCATTTCAAAAA